TAAGAGAATGGATAATCTTGCTAATGGAAAGTAAGCTAAAAGGAAATGGGGGGGCAAATAAAACGGATGAAAAAGACATATCAGTACTCAATTGAGTAGTCCCCAAACCTGAAACTTTAAAGGAAATACCATTAGCAAGAGTAACATTGTGTGGGGAATTAACAGATTGATAAGTAGAATTAACAGTCATGTGGTTAGAGGCGCCGGAGTCTATGATTTAGGGACTATGGGCGGAGGACAATAAATAAGTGGAAATAGTGCCTGACTGAGCAAAAGTGGCAGTGGAGAAAGATGAAATAACATGTTGTTGAGACAGGAACTAAGCATACTCGTCGCGTGTAATAGTAACAGACCTAGAGTAAGGTGGAGTCGACCGTGGTAGGGAGGAAATGAGAAGACCTAATTAGCCATGTCCAAAGGCTTACCATGTAAATCCCAACAATAATCAACAGTGTGACCTCCACGACTACTATAAGTGCATGAACGAGAACCATGTCGACCACCACGACCTTCAGTGCGACTTCCCCAGCCCCCACAACCACCATGGTTGCTACGGCCACCTCAAGAACTATCACTATGGCCAGTAGGAACAACAAGAGTTGAGCGGTCAAAGGGTAAGCTGCGGTCAATGCCAGAAGAGCCAATAGATAAGGTAACACGCTGTTAGCGGGAGAAAACCTCAGGAGAGAGGATAAGCTGAAACTACCCAAAATCTGAGAGCAAATAGACTCATATTCAGGTTTCAAGCCCATCAGAAAACGAACAACATTCATATCCTCATGTTGTTTCTGCCAGACTGCTGCATCAGTAGGGAAAGGGTGGTAGAGCTTCATTTCCTCACAAACTCCCTTAACGTGAGAATAATAATCTGCGAGACTCAGATTTCCTTAGTCTAGACGAAAATAATGTTGACACACCTCATATGCACAAGGAAAATTACCTGTGTTCGAATACATAATGGCCAAGTGATCCCAAATTTCTTTGGCCGTGTCAAGATAAAGTAAGGTGGAACTAATACTAGCTTCAATACTATTCAATAATAATGAAATAATCTGAGCATCTGCCTATTTCCACTGATCATACCCAGGAGTGCCTTCCTTGGATTTAGGGTCTACTAAATATTTTCTTAAAACCTTTTCCTTTAAGAAATACTTGGACTGATCGTGACCACAAATTATAATTAGTTCCATTGAGCTTAACAAAGGTCATGAGACCATTAAGGAAAACAATAGGAGACAAACTTGGTTAATGGCAGACAGATCATCAGTCTTGGGTTCCATANCAAGAACTATCACTATGGCCAGTAGGAACAACAAGAGTTGAGCGGTCAAAGGGTAAGCTGCGGTCAATGCCAGAAGAGCTAATAGATAAGGTAACACGCTGTTAGCGGGAGAAAACCTCAGGAGAGAGGGTAAGCTGAAACTACCCAAAATCTGAGAGCAAATAGACTCATATTCAGGTTTCAAGCCCATCAGAAAACGAACAACATTCATACTCATGTTGTTTCTGCCAGACTGCTGCATCAGTAGGGAAAGGGTGGTAGAGCTTCATTTCCTCACAAACTCCCTTAACGTGAGAATAATAATTTGCGAGACTCAGATTTCCTTAGTCTAGACGAAAATGATGTTGACACACCTCATATGCACAAGGAAAATTACCTGTGTTCGAATACATAATGGCCAAGTGATCCCAAATTTCTTTGGTCGTGTCAAGATAAAATAAGGTGGAACTAATACTAGCTTCAATACTATTCAATAATAATGAAATAATCTGAGCATCTGCCTATTTCCACTGATCATACCCAGGAGTGCCTTCCTTGGATTTAGGGTCTACTAAATATTTTCTTAAAACCTTTTCCTTTAAGAAATACTTGGACTGATCGTGACCACAAATTATAATTAGTTCCATTGAGCTTAACAAAGGTCATGAGACCATTAAGGAAAACAATAGGAGACAAACTTGGTTAATGGCAGACAGATCATCAGTCTTGGGTTCCATAGTCATGTGACAGAAAGAAAATAGTTCAAGAGAGATAAAGCACTCACAACCAGTCACCCAAGTGTGATTTGAACACAAAGAAATCTCAGAACCAACCCAAGTCACTTAAACAAGGTAAAATATATCTAAAATGTGCTGCACCGGAGCTGAACTATGCAAAACAGACCTGAACCAGCCTAAGATAGGCTGAACCGGAGATGAAGACTGGACAGTGCTGAACCAGGTGTACTCGCGCCTGAACCGTGCTGAGCCAGTATCAATCGAGCTTGAACAGGAGCCGAACCATGTAAAATTGACCAGAACCAGCCTAANACTGGTTAAATGAAGACTGGACAGTGCTGAACCAGGTGTACTCGCGCCTGAACCGTGCTGAGCCAGTATCAATCGAGCTTGAACAGGAGCCGAACCATGTAAAATCGACCAGAACCAGCCTAAGATAAGCTGAACCCTGCTGAACTGGCCTAAGATAGGCTGAACCGGACCTGAACCGTGTTGTACCAGACCTAAACCGTGCAGAACCAGACCTGAATCGAGTCTGAACCAACTAGACTAATGTTGGATTGGATTGGGCTACCAACAAACTAGACTTGGACTATGGTCGAACTTGGGTTGTTGGGCTTTAGAATTAATTTAAGCCCACAACCATGAAAGATCCAACAAAACCCTCACCTCCAATAGTGTTGTGACAAACAGCGGCGACCACTACGTCCTCCAACAGCAAACAATGATGACCACAACCACTCCGGCAGTAACCAACGACGACAACAACCACTCCAGCAACGACACAGATCACTTTCACGTCACACCACAGTGACGATAAACATCTCTGATGATGGGAAACAGTGGTAAACACGTGACACCAATTCTGACGACCACTAACAATAATTGATACCACCACCACAGTACAACTACTCCAACTATCACCAACCACTTACACCATTGATTTCAATAGGGAACAACAACTTAGTAAATGCACAATTTCAGTGCAAACCCATCCAATACAGTGGTAGAACCAGTATAAGTGGGCTCACAGAAACGCAGTAGTGACGGAAGAACAGAGAAGAAAAGAAAAGACGAAAAAAAAATAAAAGGAAGATGTTTAGTAGAAGATTAAACTTAATTGCTCTGATACCATGTTAAGTTTAGATGAGAGACATACTTAACACAATATAAGAGAGGCAAATAGAGATTTCAAAACCCTACCTCTCACTATCAATCTTGTATTTATAGTTACTGAACAAAGATGCAAATGACAAGTATACCATTTGTGTGGCATACATATTACAATAAGTGTAAACCCTAATTATATTATAGTAACATTCTCAACAATGATAAAACATACGAGTAAAGGGTGACCAAAATTAATTTTAAATGAAATAGTAGATAAAGGCATGATAACTTATGGTGTAGCATAAAACATGACACATACTAATGCATAATGAATAAACATGATTCATGTGGCCTACCCTAAAAATGTTGGGATAAGAGCTTGTTGAGTTGAGTTGAGAGTTGTTAATGAAAAAGCCAAGTGAGAAAGGTAGAGCAAGGACATATAAGAAATATGAATACAACACGTAACAAAACTTTGAAAAATGAACATGGGAAGAAGCTTTAGAGAAGCAAAAGCATTTTTACCACTTGAATGCCATAGAGTTAAAATTAATCTTATTAACAATGTGATGGGGATCGCATAGGAATTAGATAGATATTACAGATTAGTTATGAGAGTTACTTAAATACCTTTAATATTTATCTTTTAAGTAATTTCTTTGTCATTATTTATTTGTTTTAGGGTTTTAGTTTCCCTATATAAAATGATGCATGTAAGGGTTTTATTTAGATTAAACTTTGATTATTATTGAATACTGATATTGCTTCTTTCTCAAAATTCTTTCTCTTTTCTCATCCTTTTCTTCTTATCTTCTCATCCCTAATTCTTCCCTTCCTNCCTTCTAAAAATTTTTTCTCTTTTCTCATCCTTTTCTTCTTATCTTCTCATCCCTAATTCTTCCCTTCCTAGTCTACATCAATTTGGTATCAGAACTAATACGATCTACATCACAATGATTTGATGATTATGATATGCTGAGAAATGGGTTCTTAATACGTCGCTGTCATGGCGTTAACTAAGGATGAAAGAAGGGTCAGCCAAGTATAAATCTAAACTAGGCATTATTCTCACAAAGTGGTTACTTCAAATTTGAATCCATAACCTTGCGATAGATACTCTGAAGTGAGTGTACATGGGAGGTACATCAGATAGAATACCTTTTACACAGCTTCACATGGTAAGTCATTTATATCCTCTAATATCCTGGTGTAGTGTAAAGACCTAGATGATATGTATGTTGGGGTTCCAGGCGCCATCACATTTTATCTAACCCTTAGATGTGTAGCACAAAAATCTACGATGACATATTTGCTCGAGTACATTACACCAATTTCGAAGGCATCAATAGAGAAGTGGAAATAAAAAATAAGATCTAGCATGATATATTTGCTCAGGTGCCAGGGTGCCATCACATAATTACGAAACCCCAATACGTATAGGCACAAAACTAGCACGATGTATTTTCTCGAGTGCCAGTACACTGATCTAGAATGGATATATTGCTAGCATAACACAAAAAACACCTACGAGTTTGATTACTCTACATATGTTGAATTGAGCTTGTGAACAAACAATGTGCATGGATGCGTCCAATTAACAGAATTCTATGTTCACTAATAAACAGAAAGTTATCATACTCGGCCAATACTCAGAAGATTTTCGTAAGAACGTTAAAGCATATTTTAGGGGAACAAAAGAATTTAAATACCACCATCTCTAGGATTACTTGAATAAAAATTGCTATCCCCATCTTAATTCTACAACTAAAAAAAATAAAAAATAAAAAAAACAAAAATCTGTCCTCATTTTTCTTCCCTTTCTTAGTATCAAAATCTTTGATAGGCCAAATAAAATATCAGCATGCAATAACTAAAATCAAGCACAAACATAGTCACAATTCAGCGATAATTACTTCACTAAGAATGAGGACCCCTTTTTTCGAATCTTGGCATGCCACAAACTCATAGCTGACGAGATTCATTCCATCCCGCAGAGACGTGACAAGTGCAATATCTGATCAAAAAGAGGAAAGACAAGTCAAAAGTTAAAAAAAAACTATTCTCAGGCACCATGCAAATAGATATGAATGGCAACTAGATAACGCAAAAAGCAAACACTTTTAAAAACCTCACCATGGATCGATTAAAATATTATGATCTAAAGTAGCTCGATGATAACCAAAATTCTGAATGATACTTGAAGACTCATTCACATTTATGTGTGGTCAAAGTTAAACCCAAGTCCCAAGCTAACTTTACAAAAGAAAAATGTCGTACAAACAGAGAATGGATATATAGGAGGTGGCCAAGGGTCTAATACGGATAGAAAAACTGATGGTTTTCGGTTAAGGTACTTCAGTCTCAACAATTTTATCATACCATGGAACAAAAGCTCAACAATTCTCCACTTTGTGACTTAAATTGATTGATAAGTTCAAGAATCATCACAAAGGACATTATCACCAATTAACTACATCAGTGCTATTAAGTTAAAAATTAGGCATTGATATTNCCACTTTGTGACTTAAATTGATTGATAAGTTCAAGAATCATCACAAAGGACAATTATCACCAATTAACTACATCAGTGCTATTAAGTTAAAAATTAGGCATTGATATTTGGAGATTAATGAGCATAAATGCAAGGTTGCCTAGCAGATCGAGGAGTGATGCACTGTTTAGGTATGAAAGATATCAGGCTCCAGCTAAAAAGGACTTCCCAACCTACTTTGAATTCTAGATTGTAAGGCATCATCATAGCACATTACTGGGATGCGCTCATTATCGATTACCGAAACTAACAACAATTTTTTTGTCCACCAGAAACCATACAAAACTCAAATGCTAGCAAATAAGAAGTACCAGTAACAGCATATAGTGCGCATAATGCATGAAAGTCGAGAGAACGATCCTGCAGATAAAGAAAATTTTGCTTAGAAATTTCATCAAACAGCTAGTTATATCTGTAAGGTCAAACATGAAAATCATGATTGATCTTCAATATCAAAAGAATACATCAATTTTCACTCACTGTCCCTAAACACCTGATATTTTTTTGTTTGCTTGAAAGACACGGGATATATTCAAACCATAGTTTTGGATATCAAACTGGGCTGAACTATAGGGGCCACTGGCTGGTGCAGTGGTAAAGTGTTGGGCAAACAACCAAGAGGTTTTATGATTTCAAATAAGAGTATTCACTTTGTACAAAATAATGCCAAACGTTTGGCCTATATCCAAACTAACTCACCTAGCACCCTCGATGACGAGGACATAACCAGGCAACACTCCTTTTAGTTTTACATATTAATTATCGGTGACAAATAATCTTGTTGAATCTTTTTTTCAAAACAGAAATGTAGAACAACTTTGAAGAGCCAGTACTACTACTAACATGAGATGCTGGAAAACTCAGTTACTTAAGGGCATTACATCAAGCATAAAGGTATGGCCCAAGATGTCAATGCCACACCTCTAGGCTTCTCTCACAAAGCCGAGACGATACGGAGAGAAAATATTATTTTTTAGGGAAAATTACACACAGACCCCTTGAAATTTGTCACTTAATCACCTAGATCCCTGGACATTAAAGTATTGCACACAGACCCTCTAAAATTTGTATATGCCTAACACTTAGACCCCTACCATCAATGTCCGTTAATATATCCGTTAGTAAATTACACCTAGACCTCTAANTCTAGGCTTCTCTCACAAAGCCGAGACGATACGGAGAGAAAATATTATTTTTTAGGAAAAATTACACACAGACCCCTTGAAATTTGTCACTTAATCACCTAGATCCCTGGACATTAAAATATTGCACACAGACCCTCTAAAATTTGTATATGCGTAACACTTAGACCCCTATCATCAATGTCCGTTAATATATCCGTTAGTAAATTACACCTAGACCTCTGAAATTTGTACATGTCTAACTTAGACCTCTCAAATTTAAAATATTAAACTTAGACCATTTATTAGTTACAGAACTAACGGAATCTATTAAACAATCAAATTAACCCAATTAAAGATAGAAGATATTGTGTCTATTACAGTTTGATCCCTTATTTGGTTTTTTTGTTTTATTCCAATAGACAGTATAATTGTATACAAATGATTGTTGAATTGAGTTTTTGATTTATTTATACCGATTACTATACTCCGTTCATACCATTTTTCTATCTCAAAACCATAAACAAAATTGACTTGTCTGATTTGACCAGATAAGGAATGCAGTTTACTGAAAAAGTAGCAGAAGAGACAAACATTGAAGAATTGGAAAATTACTAAGCAAACACTGTTCAGCCTTCTTTGAAAAAGATTTCTCTAAAGAAGGGAAAACATGAATAAGCACAAGTCATGTCAAATAGTACCTCAAGCGGAGAAATACGGTGACATACACATGTATTAGACCGGTTATGGATAATGACCGACAAAGAAAAAGACTGACCAAATGATGAAGTGGAACTGTGGTCAAAGTTCCAAATCTGCCATTGATGCGTCCAACAATTTCGTGAACCTGGCTTGTAAGTTTCTGATCTGTAAAACCAGACAACAGAAAGGAAATGAAATTCCATTTTCTAGCGTACAGGCACACAGCTCAGAGAAGTGACGGAACAAAAGGAAACCCCGGTAAGTCTTCCAGAGCTCACAAAAGGCCATTGTAAATTGTGTGTAAACTAGTTAATGTTCTTCAGGAAGAAAAAATTGTTTTCAGTTAAACTCATGAAATAAAATGTGTTTCTAGTGCAAAGCAATACCACAAGGAAACTCAGCTAGCATGAAACTGGTTGTCAAGAAAACCAAAGTTCAGTTAAATGAGAGAGAAATAGTGCATCTAACATATGTAGCATGGAAAACAAATTTTTGAAAGCTCAATCAAAATAATATTATGGAAGCAAGGCTTCTATTTTATGGAAATAGAGAGTTCATCCATTGGAAAAAACTACAATTCCTACTTTCTGTAGGTATCCAATCTCTGTCTTATTCTTTCTCATCTCATATGCGCAGACTGAAGTGGGGAGATTCTAACCAGAGGAATCTAGCCACAGGTAAAGGATTTTGTTGATTGTATAGATATTTAAGTAACAAACTTTCTAACAATTTAAACTTTCAGAGAAGATAACCATCAAAAAATAAAAAGGAAGCATGCTAAAGAGCTTACATTCAGGAACATCTGTTCTTGTTGGCACAGCAATTTGCAGCAAAACCACTTTATCACGCCAAGAAGGATTTTCCTCAAGAAACTTTTCAAACGCCAATATCTTTTGGGGAATTCCCTTAATCATATCCAGGCGATCAACCCCTAACATTACCTGTTAGAAGAGTCAGAACTAAAATAATAGTAAACAAGAAAAATACAAGCACGGTTTGATATTGCAAACAAACATGAAATCTTTGTGTGTACAATTCCCATAATGAAAGAACCACACACATTAGTAGTGGATAAAATGTAAAAACAATATTTTTTTCTTCCAATTTCCATTTTTTGTCTGTTTTTCAGGTGTGGAGCTGTACATGGACACAACCTCCGAAATCACAAATGCAGCTAGAGGGAACTGACCAACTTTTTAGTAAGCAAAATAGGCCCACATAAGCCTGCATTCTTCCAAGATCACATGAAGAGTACAAAACAACAGAATAACAGTCAATACCAGGAATAATTTCAACTCGTTCAAATATTGGTAGATGGCCACATGCTCCTTCATATACAATAAGCGCAACAATATACCATACAATACGAATACCATCTGAAAAATTTACTCAACTAAATCACTCACATAACAAGAAAGCCTGCATGAACTTGTACAAATGAATAACTTCTNGTGCAACAATATACCATACAATACGAATACCATCTGAAAAATTTACTCAATTAAATCACTCACATAACAAGAAAGCCTGCATGAACTTGTACAAATGAATAACTTCTGTCAATATGTAGCAGTGTGGCACATATCAACAACTATTCGAGAAAAAAATAAAGATTAATAGAGCATCTTATGTCTCCAACTACAGTAAACCACACAACCATTCTAATAGGCTCCAGCCTTTACAAGACCAAGAGTGATGAGACAGTGTTCTCCAGGTTCAACTCTTGAAGCAGTTTCTGATGAAATCAGAGCCTTGCAGGAGAACACATAAGTGCATTTGTTTTATGAGGCCAATCAAGGGTAATCAAGATGGCTAGGAGCCCACTTTGAAAGCTTAAAGTCCAGAGTTTGTCTCCCATGGCACCAACCGCTAGAGATTTATCCTTATAACATCCCTGTGCTTCAAGGGCGGGAGGACTGCATGTGTCCACGATCATTCTAGATGGAGGAAAAAGCAAGGCCTAATTCAATCAACTCATGCCACAATAGAAACTTCACATGATGGTCCATGCATGAACAAGTCTTTCAGTCACATTTAAGAAACATTTCCTTTTGATTAAAAAATAATAAAACTATGAAGAGAAGAGATATTGTCCGAAAGAACAAAAATGAAGACAGGGATCCAAGTCTTATTTAAGCTAGTACCCCTGAACCACCCTCCAATTCAGTGCCATGCCAGCATTATCAGCACTGCACTTTTGGCAATCCACTAAAACCCCTAACAGACTCTCTGATGCTCACTATTACTATCCAAAATTAGGAAAATTAGCCTGAAAGGATGGAAAGAGCATTCTCAAGAGCTTAACCACACCACACTCATTTGACCAACTCATGACACCAACTCTTAACCTGGTGGCATGCAATGAAAAAGCTGTCTCTTGGTTGCATGACTGCAACACCCTAACTAGCTGAATAGGAAGCAGAAAAAAGAAATGTCATTGGAACTGAAGAAAGAAATGAGAAGAAAGCATAAAGAAAACTGGTGGTATGTAAGAAACTTAGACTTTAGCAAAAATGAATAGCAAACTTAAGAACCTGATAAAAAAGAAATCCACCATCTTAGACAACTAATTCCCAATGGCTTGGTAAATGAAATTATGAATAAGTTTTAGACTTTAAATCACTAAGCATGTGTTCTCATTGTAGAAGCAAAAGGTATCAACAAGGTTCCCTAATGTTCCTGGAACATTTAATTTGAAGTTCATAAGATGCCCCTGTTTCAGAAACATGTCTCTAGCAAGACGCATTACAAAAAGTATGTTTCCTCCATTTAAAACTGTTATGGGGCAAATTTTTTTGAAAGGTAATGTCCTGAGATGAAAAATAAATTGGTGTAGCACTAGTAGCCAATTTTTATAACTGGCAGAAACAAAATAAAAATACTCATCATGTCAAGTACACATTGGTTATGTCCAAACTATATAGATAGAACACAACGAATCTCAACAGCTTCAGTTTACTTTCAACAACTGAAGCATAGTCCAAGTTCTTAGCCAAGTCCAACAGAATTTTCTCCATAATTTGTCTGGACACTAGGAAGTGCATTGTCTATATAACATTGTGCACAATGAAAGAATCATGGTAAAACCACAATCAGTCCGCAAACATTGGAAACACTTAAAACTTGGTCAAATCGAGTAGAACTCCTCCCAAGATATGTACATAAAGTTGTATCCAAACCTAGTCAACTTAATTTAAAAGCAAGGTTTTTTCTGCAAGTTCATCTTAAAAAATGCTTAAAATTTGCTAAAAAAGAATACAAGTAAAAATGACTTATCTCCTGAAAATAAAACCGCACCAAAGAGAACAATAACACTTACCTTTCGGCCAGCAAACCTTTCTTTTAATTCTTTGATGTGTTCCTGGACTTGAGGAACTTCAAGTGCTCGAATGAAACGATCTGAATCTATCCCTATAGGGAACTGGAATTCCACCAACATGGGAGAACCAAACATAGAGTGATAAGGATGAGTTATGAGCTATTCAAAATCGAATTGTGTTCACTCTCAATATGACTACTTCATGCTACACCAATAGGAAAAGATTGATTTTGAAGGAGCAAATAACATTCCAAGGCAACGGCTAAAAGCATGAAAAAAGTTGAACATACCGCAGCCACGCGAGTCAGTCTCCCTTGATCCTCTACTCCTTCAGGTGTACCTTCGAGTCCAAGAATACGAGTACAAGCACTGACAAAATGCCTCGCATAATCATAGGTATGGAAACTGGAAAACAAGATTCAAATTATTGATGTTTGCAAGTTTGACATTCATTCATATTAGTATTCCAAATATAATACCCAACCAAACTAAGCAATAGATCAAAATTAAGCAGAGGAATTAGTTCGCTCTAATATAGCACCAGCTCATTACGAATGCAGATCTAGGAACCCAAAAACAAGTGTATTAACATAGGAAATTGAGTCACCAAGAGTCGCCTACAGTACACCATGGGTTAGAATCTCATTAGACAACTTAACTTTAAGATAGCACTAGATGGTGATGGCCCTAAGGGGATCCTCAAACTCAAGACGTCAAGCTTTGAAGTGTACTGCTGGTCATCTTGTCTATCCTTTGGCATTGAAAAGGANGAGTTAGAATCTCATTAGACAACTTAACTTTAAGATAGCACTAGATGGTGATGGCCCTAAGGGGATCCTCAAACTCAAGACCTCAAGCTTTGAAGTGTACTGCTGGTCATCTTGTCTATCCTTTGGCATTGAAAAGGACTTTAATGTATGTGCAAGATTTGCAACTTTTTAAGTTAAAAATCATTTCATTCAGCTATTGTGCAAGTATTAATATAAATACACAATACACCTCATTCATGAACATTACAGCACATATCAGAAGTAGAACAGAACCAATACCTTTATCCCAACCAATGCTGATACTAATTTATTTGGAGGAAAAAAGTAGATTTTAATCCACTAATGTTGGAACATGGCAGGATTCACTTGGCATAACTTAAGCAACCTTTCGGCAGTTAAATTTCTACTGTGAGCATCTTAAGAAAAAATAATTGAAGAACAATCAAAACAGGAAGATATATAGAACAAGAGCAAGCCAAAAAACGCCCTTACAACACATACACACAGAGAGGTTTAAGTTCATGACTCATCCAACTGTACTCTGTGCCAACAATAGTCGATGGGTTTATAGATATACAGCAGGTTTACAACAAAGTAAAATGCAAAAATTAACATTGATATTAACACTTGGAAAATTTTGACACTGTATCAAAACAATTGGAAACTAATCAGCATAGTAGGGTATGCTAGTGGCGATGTAAGATGCACATGCCTGTTTCCTTATTGTACCATTGTTGATAGAATGTCCCACAAAGATTCATACCTAATTAAGTACTATACACGTAACCCAGTGTTGAAGCACATGCAACGCAAAAAAAAAAATACAAAGTTTCCTACGATGTGTTAGACAGTCTCAAATTAAAATTTTGTGACATTCTAAGACTCTTAAGCCCCTAGTTGTACTAGTTTAATAGTGTTGGCCCTGTTAACTGAGGTAGCTTGCAACGTTGTAAGATCAAATTTGTCAAACACAGTAGAAGTACTTTACCCAACCAAATCAGCAGCAAGAACAGCAAGCAGCAGCTCTGATCGAGATGGCAGCGTCCTGTGGATTTCAGAAGATGGGAAAGGTGTGTGGAGAAACCAACCAACTTTCATTTTGCTGTTGTGTTCCTTCAGGCATCTTGGAAGGAACATAAGATGGTAATCATGACACCAAACAACATCACCTTCTTCATAATGCTTGTTTACAACATCAGCAAACATTTGATTTGCATTTTTATACGCAGCAAACTGGGACTGAAAACTTCTGGTAGTCGCGAGACGATCTTCTTGAGGAAGTCCAAGATAATGGAAAAGAGGCCATAATATGTTATTGCAATAGCCATTATAATACTGATGAACAATTTCTTCATCAAGGAATACGGGGATACACCTCTGCAGCAAGTGAAAATTTAAGCAAAGTTATCATGTTCACCAGGATTCTTCATAGCAAAATCTAACATTTAACCATCAGCATCACAGGACCAAAAAATACAAAGTAGATTATGAATCGGAACCAAAAAAAACATAACAATCCTATGATGCTGCACCTTTTCAGCCAGTGCTTTAGTAAGTGACTTCTGCCCAGCCTCATCGGGCACATTCACACCTGCCCACCCAATCCATCGTGCCTCAAATTCCTTCACACCTTCAACAATTCAATTAACTATATCCATTAGTTTTCCTTTTGCAGGTTATAAAATGAAAGGAATCAAACAAAAACACAGGAAGTTATGGTAAAACCATAAGTATAATTAAAATAAACAAGGGGTACAAGAAGATATAAAAATGCTTACCCAGAAGAGCGCTCACTAGACCACCCGCGCTTATCTCCAGTGACCAAGACTCTTCACCTCTCCTAACAGCAGAGACTGGCAGCCTATTAGCCACCACCAACAATCGTTGCCTGCAAGGCCTCGCATCTGGCCTTTCCCATCCCTCACTAAGTGCTTTTGCAGCCCCTTCCAAATATTGATCCAAAAGGGAAAACTCTCTGTTACCATTCTCCCTTAAGTGCAAGTCATGTTCAGAGTCCTCAGTTACCCCGTTACTGTCGGTAGTGTCATTTGAATGAGAAGCTCTGCTACTTTTTCTTAGCTCTCTTTCTCTCAAAAGCCTCTCTACACGATTTGTGGGAATGGCTGAGTTGCCGTTGTAATTGTTCCCAGCACGTATCGGCATACGTGCTATCTACAACACAGACCTCCAGCACCGACTTTAAAATAAAAGTTTCAGTGTTCCTGAAAACAATTGTCCCATATTTTGATTAATGCAAATTAAGAGGTAATCAACCCAAACAATATATACTAAAACATCAAATACTAACATGATTGTTTCTAGATAAACGGAAAATATGCAAATTCTACAGAACCGGAATAACTTTACGAACAATGGTCTAGAAAGCATCGGCATCCTCAGTAAATAAATCAAACGAAGAGAACGAAAGAAAGGCATAGAGAAAGAGGTAACAGAGAGAATCAGATCCACAAAATTTTGTGAATGAATAAACGGGGTCTACCACCGAGTCCTGGTTATCTCAATACAAAGAATTTAAACTCATGTTCTGCAAATTCCTGCGGAAAGCATCCTGAGTGAAGTTCATGAGAACAATAGAAAGCAACAGCATGATATATGAGCAGATACATATATCTATCCATACACACTTGTGTATATATACACATATATCAGATAAAGAGAGATAATGGAATCCACAGAAATGCTCGACTCAAAAAGCGATCATTTGTGGCTGAGTCGTTCATGATTCAACACTCAGAAAAGATCAGAGATTAAGCAAAGAGGGAGAATTAATTATATTCATGAATTTATTTCTCTATCATCTCCTTAAACTAAGCATATCCCAAATTATTGTAAAAAGAAAAAGAATCAATCACCCACTTCATCATGCAGCCAAGAAACAGCAGCTGGCCTAGAAACAAGAAATCAGGACTCGGGACAGGCAAAATTAACAATGAGAAAAAAATGGTCTCACCTAATTTGATCCAAATGTCAATTTTTAGATGGTTCATCGTTACAACCAAAACGTCACAATCGTGGGTGGTTTGCAGATGGGTGTGACAGCAAGCGGGTGCCCAGCTGCGAATAGAGAGAAGAGGGGACGGAGGTGGGGGACGGAGGGAGGAATCTGAAGAAGATGCTAGCAGTCATAGTAAGAGGAAAAGAGAGAAGCGAACGAATCCTCGTGTACGCTTTATAAGAGACATAAAGCCTTACAGCCATGCAGGTCAGCCTGTTAAGCGACACCAAATTTTTTTCTGAATATTCTGTTACTTTAAAGCAGGGAGCGGAGGCAATGCTTACGCAAGCTCTCAAAACATGAATATTATTAGTAACAGATTTATTTGATTAGTGTCGGGTGAAAAAGTTGTGGGTTTAATTAATTAAAGTACATCATCTGCTGGAGTTCTCTCCTAGGGCAAAATTCCCCCGTTTTTCCTATATTACTTCGAAGGAAGTCTAATTATACACCTTTCGGATTTCATTCCTTCTTAGCGGTGCGGGCTCATTTCCATATCAGTCCTTCAATTCTGATTTCTTGTTCAGAAACCCATATACAAGTTTTAGGAATTTTTCCGCTTTGACAAGTCATATTTTATACCCTTAAACTTCGGGTCTAATTTGTTTTTTGGTATTTAAACTATCAATTGAAATAATAAATACTTAAATTTTGGCCAAAAAATGATACGTTAATATCAGGTAATCTTTGGTATTGTGAGGATAATTTCGAATAAGATAGGTCTAATTTTAGAGTTTGGGCCTTGAAATTGCATATGTGTTCATCTGTTGCATATTTGAGTAATTTAATTACCTTTGCTGGCTACTTTTTTTTAATAGATTTGATTTATATAAATTTATTATGGAAAAATTTCATCCACACTCTTTAGTTAAATTTAAATTTAATTACACTTTCTCTCAATTCTGAAATTTCACTGCACCCATTTCTGATTTATATTATTGAATCATGAAAAACTTCTATGACTAACTTCCGCCTATTAGTAGATAAAGTGCATGATTTAACTACTTATTCTTTAAAAATGTCAAAATTATTCTATGTTATGTTAATAGACTAAAATGTCTTAGGTCGACACTTTATAAAATTTGATTTTTTATTTTTTTTTGATAAGTAGGATGATATATTTATATCTAAGGTAAAAAAATGCATAAAAACAAAACAAAATAAAAAAAATTAATTTTAACATTTTACAAAAAATTAACGTTAATTATAGTGATTTTCAATTGATCTCAATAATTTTTATCATTTTAAAGCGTTATATGATAACTTTATTGTAAATTCTATCGAGAATATATATAAAAATATATGTCAATTTTTTAAAAAAGAATTGGACGAGCAAAACCAGATGGAAGTAATACTCTCATCTTTACAATAATCAAACATTNTATAACCGTTTTTAACATGTATATATATATATACATATATATATATATATATATATATATATATATATATATNCATCTAGTAACATAGCATCAAGAATCCATGATCAACTAAGTAACTTAAGATGTCTTCTATTATCTATACTTGTGATTCATGTCTTCAGCATCTTGTTGTATTTTTGTGTATTTTGGTATCATNTCTATCCATACACACTTGTGTATATATACACATATATCAGATAAAGAGAGATAATGGAATCCACAGAAATGCTCGACTCAAAAAGCGATCATTTGTGGCTGAGTCGTTCATGATTCAACACTCAGAAAAGATCAGAGATTAAGCAAAGAGGGAGAATTAATTATATTCATGAATTTATTTCTCTATCATCTCCTTAAACTAAGCATATCCCAAATTATTGTAAAAAGAAAAAGAATCAATCACCCACTTCATCATGCAGCCAAGAAACAGCAGCTGGCCTAGAAACAAGAAATCAGGACTCGGGACAGGCAAAATTAACAATGAGAAAAAAATGGTCTCACCTAATTTGATCCAAATGTCAATTTTTAGATGGTTCATCGTTACAACCAAAACGTCACAATCGTGGGTGGTTTGCAGATGGGTGTGACAGCAAGCGGGTGCCCAGCTGCGAATAGAGAGAAGAGGGGACGGAGGTGGGGGACGGAGGTGGGGGTAGAGAGAGGAATCTGAAGAAGATGCTAGCAGTCATAGTAAGAGGAAAAGAGAGAAGCGAACGAATCCTCGTGTACGCTTTATAAGAGACATAAAGCCTTACAGCCATGCAGGTCAGCCTGTTAAGCGACACCAAATTTTTTTCTGAATATTCTGTTACTTTAAAGCAGGGAGCGGAGGCAATGCTTACGCAAGCTCTCAAAACATGAATATTATTAGTAACAGATTTATTTGATTAGTGTCGGGTGAAAAAGTTGTGGGTTTAATTAATTAAAGTACATCATCTGCTGGAGTTCTCTCCTAGGGCAAAATTCCCCCGTTTTTCCTATATTACTTCGAAGGAAGTCTAATTATACACCTTTCGGATTTCATTCCTTCTTAGCGGTGCGGGCTCATTTCCATATCAGTCCTTCAATTCTGATTTCTTGTTCAGAAACCCATATACAAGTTTTAGGAATTTTTCCGCTTTGACAAGTCATATTTTATACCCTTAAACTTCGGGTCTAATTTGTTTTTTGGTATTTAAACTATCAATTGAAATAATAAATACTTAAATTTTGGCCAAAAAATGATACGTTAATATCAGGTAATCTTTGGTATTGTGAGGATAATTTCGAATAAGATAGGTCTAATTTTAGAGTTTGGGCCTTGAAATTGCATATGTGTTCATCTGTTGCATATTTGAGTAATTTAATTACCTTTGCTGGCTACTTTTTTTTAATAGATTTGATTTATATAAATTTATTATGGAAAAATTTCATCCACACTCTTTAGTTAAATTTAAATTTAATTACACTTTCTCTCAATTCTGAAATTTCACTGCACCCATTTCTGATTTATATTATTGAATCATGAAAAACTTCTATGACTAACTTCCGCCTATTAGTAGATAAAGTGCATGATTTAACTACTTATTCTTTAAAAATGTCAAAATTATTCTATGTTATGTTAATAGACTAAAATGTCTTAGGTCGACACTTTATAAAATTTGATTTTTTATTTTTTTTTGATAAGTAGGATGATATATTTATATCTAAGGTAAAAAAATGCATAAAAACAAAACAAAATAAAAAAAATTAATTTTAACATTTTACAAAAAATTAACGTTAATTATAGTGATTTTCAATTGATCTCAATAATTTTTATCATTTTAAAGCGTTATATGATAACTTTATTGTAAATTCTATCGAGAATATATATAAAAATATATGTCAATTTTTTAAAAAAGAATTGGACGAGCAAAACCAGATGGAAGTAATACTCTCATCTTTACAATAATCAAACATTTTGTTGGCACATCTAGTAACATAGCATCAAGAATCCATGATCAACTAAGTAACTTAAGATGTCTTCTATTATCTATACTTGTGATTCATGTCTTCAGCATCTTGTTGTATTTTTGTGTATTTTGGTATCATAGCCATCTGATGGCCGCCTGAATAGTTAACCATTGAATTATATTTGATTCATCTTACTTATTATTGAATCTTTGATGCTTCAATTAGTAAATTCCTTTTAAGTCTCATTTCTTTTGTCACCCAAGCTTTGCCACCTAAGACTAGAGAGTCTAGATCCCAGTGTAAGTCATAGTGAGTTGCAGTGAAGAGGAAAATGAACAACAAATCTAGAGGGGTATGTACAACAGAGTCAAAACTTATTAGTAATTTACAAAGTTGAAAATTTTAGATTTAAAAATGAGTAGATTGTTCAGATCCAATTCTATGGCTAACTTATCTAGATCTTCATTGAACATTATACCAAATATAGTAAATGAAGAAGAATATAAATATTATGAGTCACAAGTAAATTGGAGTGGATGGAATATTCACAAAGTCCCCCACAAAGAAATTTATAAGACTAGTTGGATCCCAACAGCCTTCAAATCAGAACTTTAAGTAAAAACAATTGAACAAGTCTATTCTCTCACAAAGGAGGAAGAAACTTGACAATTACTTAGTAAAGAAGCCATAAAAAGACGTAAATCAAAAGGATATAATTTATCCACCTTCGTCTAATACAAGTAGCAAAAAAGTCGTTGACTCAAAGTGAAAAAAATTTTGCAGTTCTATTANCGTAAATCAAAAGGATATAATTTATCCACCTTGGTCTAGTACAAGTAGCAAAAAAGTCGTTGACTCAAAGTGAAAAAAATTTTGCAGTTCTATTATCCTTAAGAGATGCTAGATTCATAAACTATAAACCCAGCATCTTAGGTATAATGGAAGCTGGTCTTCATAATGGACTAGTATACTTTAACTGCTTCCTAGACTTTACATTAAGTTTGAAAGATCCTACCTTATTAATAACATTAACTTTAGGTATAAAAGTTACAAGAGAATTTACCAAAATGGTAAAAGAAGCAAGATCTTTAATACTAATCTATAGAATTTACTACAAATGCATCACAACAAACTTGAATGTTCATGCATTAAAGAAAAGTCCCAAAGATAGTACCTTGTTAATCCAAGGTAGTACTACAGAAGCAAATTGGATAGATCTACTAATAGGTACAATAGTTGATTGTTAGATGTTATATCTAATGAATCTAACTATAGTTTGAAACAATTTAATTTTGCTAAAAGAGATGACTAGACTATTGTATCTTGTTAAACAATCTAATAAAAGAGAAATACAAGAGATAAGAAAAGAGGAGACTAGGGTTTTATTGATACTGCATAATTCAATTGAATACAAAGAAGTGATTTAACCTAAATACAAAGAGACTATATATAGGCTAAATAAAGGGAAAGTAAAGGACTATTCTACCATTAATAAACAAAATAACTCTATATTTCTTAATATATCTCCTCAAAATCACGATGCGGCAGCTACAAGCATCGAGAATTTGCCAACTAGAAAACGAAAACGAGAAATAGAATGCAACTTGATAAAGAAATCTACAATCTGCAAAGAAGAAGAAACAAAGGGCAAAGTAATGGTGTCATGCTTTAAATGATGACGAGTAAGGTGACAATCAATCTCAATGCGCGTTGTCCGTTCATGAAAAATCGAGTTGTGAGCAATCTGAATAGAACTCTAGTTGTCACAATACATAGGAGTGGGATGAGAAAGAGAAACTCTCGTATCTGCAAGTAACCAACATAACCAAACAATCTCTTTGG